CCCCTCCCCCCCACCATGGGGTCAGGCCTTCCCAGGAGCCCCTGCCTTTGCTGCCTGGGCTCGCTGGAACTCCTGTTGCAGCTGAGCGAGGGTCTCCCTTTGTTGCTCTGACTGCCGCTCAAGGTCCCGGAGCTGGGATTCATATCGCTTACTGAGAGGCAAGGAAGATAAACAGAAAAGGAGAAATTAGTGGAACTTGCTATTGAGAGTGCTGAAAGCAGGAAAGAGACTGGTGGAAAACTTGAAATCTTGGGAAGGGAGGAAAAGAGAGTTGAAAGAGGTTGGAGCATCTGGACAACTGGGGGCTACTACGGAGAACTACTCTGCAATGGTTCCTCAACACCTCTACTCCAATGGTGTAAGATGCATCACAGGGTAGTGGAACAAAGACTCACATTTCAGCTGTGATATAGTCCAGCCTCTTCCCCACTGTGGCTCGAGCTTCCCCTAGCTCCTGTTTGACCAGCACAGGACCCAGAAGTTTAAAGACCACGTTGGACCCATCCAGCAGGGCCAGTTCCTGATAAAGAGGTGGAACACATATAATCAGAACCATGGCCAGAACCGGTTCCTCCTCGCCCCATAAATCCCAGTCCCTCACCTCTTTCACGATATTATTTTCTGTTAGTTGTGCCTCAAGCTTCTGCCTCCCTGACATAGATTTACTCAAGTCTGGGGGTGGGAGGAAAGAGATGATTAGAAACATCAAATTGCCACCGACCCCCACAATCCTAATCATAAGGAGATGAATCTGAGGAAGTAGACGAGGATGGGGGGCAGCGGGTCGTGGATTGGGAAGAGTATTGAGGCGGGAAGGTAGCTGCACACGGGGTCCTGGGTGGGGCAGAAAACCTTATGTCGGTATGGCTTTGGGCTGTGAGTGGACTGGGGCGAGGCCACGCCAACTTTGCTCTCTTACCTTTCTGTAGTTGTTGATATTTTTCCACTTCTCCCTGCAGTTTCTTCTGGATCAGCTCAGCCATGGCGGGGACGAAAGCCTGAGGGGAACAGGAGAGGGGCGCTGGGTCTCACTCTCTGGAAGGTATCCGAGCTCCCCTTTCTGGCCTGGCCTGCGGAAATGACAGCACTCTTAAGAGGCAGCCACTCGTGGGACCGCAGCCTCTCCGGATCTTGGATATCGACTGCACCCTGGCCTCTGGGGGTAAAGGACAAAACTCGAGACCCCGAACCCCTCAACCGAAACCCAAACCTACTCACGTTCTCCCTTCAGTATTAATCAACCCGGAAGTAAACAGAGATTGCTGGGAAAAGACGCTGCCGGAAGCTGTCTTCTGATGCACGCCGGGAAGTGTAGTTCTGATCGACTCAACGAGGGGTGTTCTGCTAAAAAAAAAAAAACTGGATTCGGAAACTTTTAGGCAACATGGAGAGACTAATCCAGAAAAAACAGCATCGTTACTTGGGCCCTAGTCCCAGACCTTCCTCTTTTTCCATCACTCGGGCTCAAGCTGCCGCACGGGAGGGCGGTGCTAAGACCTGCCACGCCCCTGAAAGGAGAGCATGCCCTTACTCAAGATGGCGCCTAGAAGGCTTCAGACCTGGTACGGTGCTGATTGGATAAGAGATAGAGGACTTCCGGGAGTCTCCCAGCCGACTGTGCTACAGCTGAGAGGAGTTTTGCACGTGGATTGTCTTTCGGGTGGGTTAGATGGAGACAGCCCCCAAGCTGGGTAGAGATGTCCCGCCCAAGAAGGACAAACTTCAGGCCAAGAGGAAGGTAGAGGCTTCCCTGGGTGGGAAAGGAAGGTTTTAGTTGTGGGGTCGGGGGGCGGGGCGTGGGTACAGAGTATCAGGGGTCCTCATCTGCCGGTAGAAACCGAGGCGATACTGGGAGGAAGAGACTGCTCAGTCCGCAGCCGGAGCCTCTCCAGGGCCTCCTAGTAACAAGAAGAGGAATCAGGAGCTCCGCCCCCAGAGGCCAAAGAACACTCACATCCTAAAGAAGTCTCGGATCTCCAAGAAACTCCAGGTCCCGAAGAAACCCCGAGAACGGAAGAATCCAGAGTCCCAGCGGAGTTTGTCCGGGGTGAGCCTTCACCCCGATGGGTGGTGGGGCAGGCCACCCTTTGCTTTGAGAGCGAGGGCTGGGGTCAACCCGAGCCTGTCTGCTAGTTGCTGCCTCTTTCCTCAGGCCCAGGACCCATTCCCAGGCCCCGCTCCCGTACCTGTGGATGTGGTCCAGAAGTTCTGTCGCATTGACAAATCCAAAAAGGTGAGGTCCAGCCGGAAAGTGGGGAAGGGTTGGGAGCAGGGAGTGTCTGGTTGAATCAGGTGGAGTCTGGGCCAGGTGACTTTCTTGTGACCCAACAAATTACCTGGTTCTTTTGCCACTTCTTCCTAACCAACAATGTTATAGCTACCACGTTGTAGGTCCAAAACCCGAAACAGACTTAAGGTGGCTGAAACTGAGGAAGAAGAAACAAGTGTCACAGCTGCTCGTTCTGAGCTGCTGCTTGCTGAGGAACCTGGGTGAGTGGACCCTAATCTATGGCTCCCTAGTCCGTGCTTTACACGATTCTCCTTTCTCATTTTTATGTTCGTAAACCTACTTCACCTTGGGAAGTTTTACTGCCATCCTAATCTTTGCTTTCAGGTTTCTGGAAGGGGAGGATGGAGAAGACACAGCAAAGATACTACAGGCTGACATTGTGGAGGCCGTGGACATTGCAAGTGCAGCCAAGGTGAGCCTGAGGAGGGAAGGGAGCCAAGGGGTTGATTGGTGGTTCAGGACAAGAGAGGAATGGGGACCAGAAAGGGAATTACTGAGGTGAAGTCATACTTGATTTTTTTCCCCCACTCTTCCCTTTCCCAGCACTTTGACTTGAATCTGCGGCAGTTTGGACCCTACAGAGTGAACTACTCACGAACTGGGAGGTAAGGTTATATTCCAGTGACTCTTGAAATAAGGTGTGGTTATGTTTCCTTAACTACTTCAGCCATACCCAATGTATGTTTGGGTTGTTGATGAGGGGAGTGCCTGCCATTTGCTTGGATGTGAGGATTAGCATCTCTAGCAGTATTTCTCTTCTCCCTGGGAGAGAAGGGGCAGACCTCAAGTTGTCTGTGTTCTGCATTAACACCCTGCCTGTTCCTCACTTCCAACAGACACCTAGCTTTTGGAGGCCGTCGGGGTCATGTGGCTGCCCTTGACTGGGTGACAAAGAAGCTCATGTGTGAGATCAATGTCATGGAGGCAGTGCGGGACATCCGGTTAGTGGGAATGAGACAGCCAATCCCTGATTGAATGACAGCCTGTGACTGCGTTTTCCATTAAACCACTCCTCCTCCCCACCAGGTTTCTCCATTCTGAGGCACTGCTTGCTGTCGCTCAGAACCGCTGGCTTTACATCTATGACAACCAGGGCATTGAGCTGCACTGTATCCGCCGTTGTGATCGAGTCACACGGCTCGAGTTCCTGCCCTTCCACTTCCTTCTGGCTACAGCTGTGAGTGGCTGTGGAGCACAGGGATTGGGTGGCAGCCCTTGGGAAGGCCACTTCTCTAGGACCCCACTAGAGGGAAGATAGAGGCCAATGAAGATTTGGTCGTTTTCTGTCTCTTTCTCAGTCAGAGACAGGGTTTCTGACCTACCTGGACGTGTCTGTGGGGAAGATTGTGGCAGCTCTGAATGCTCGGGCTGGTCGGCTTGATGTCATGACTCAGAACCCTTACAATGCCGTCATCCATCTTGGACACAGCAATGGTTAGTCCCTAGCTCAACTTTGACTCTCTGACCATCCTGAGTTGCTTTTCTTCTATATTTGTATTTCACAAGTTCTTTCAAGTATTCTCTCATTATCTCTTGGTCTTGAGTCACCATCTTTCCCAGGTTTAACAACCTCTGGGTTGGGTTTGTATTAGTAACTTTAGTTCTCCTTTTGCTTCCAGGTACTGTGTCTTTATGGAGTCCAGCAGTGAAGGAGCCACTGGTAAAGATTCTCTGTCACCGTGGTGGGGTCCGGGCTGTGGCAGTGGATTCTACAGGCACGTAAGTCATTTGTTTGGGGATGAGGTGGGTGTGTGTGTGGGATATCACAGGTGGGTAGAAAGGTATGGAAAACAGTGTGCCTTTAGGAGCACAGAGTCCAGCCAGGCTGCCCGGTTTAAATTCCAGTGTTACCACTGACCAGCTATGTAAGTGTGGACACATTACTTAACCTCTGTGTGTCTCACAGTTTCCTTTACCCTATGAATGTCTAGCTCACGGGTCCAAACACTTTTTCTGTAAAGAGCCAGATAGTAAATATTTTAGGCTTATTCTGAGACCAAGAGGCAAAATCGAAGTTATTATGTAGGTCCTTAAGTAACAAGAGAGAAAACAAATTATCACAAATTATTAAGCAATGAAATTTAAAACATAATAACTGAATATGATTTTTTTGTAAATACAAGTCTAATGGAAAGAACCAAATGCCTTTTTTTGAGCATAAGTTTGTTTACTTGCGATTTACAGTTAGTGTTCCAAATCATCAAATTTGGTTGCAAATATTCATGTTAATGCTGATCTGTAGAGAGATTTTATGTATTTCATCTTTGAAAATGCCTTTCACATGGACAGGTAGTGAGGTAGGTGGTATGTGAGATGCCCCAATCCTGTCAAATGATGACTGTCACGGCCACTCAACTGTGTTATAGAGGGAAAGCAATCACAGAATAAGTAAATGAGTGAGTGTGGGTGTTCTGGTAAAAATTTATTTGTGGACATTAATTTGAATTTCATAATTTTCACATCTCAAAATATTCTTTTGACTTTTTTCAACCACTTAAAAATGTAAAAACCATTTTTAGTTCGTGGGCTGCACAGAAGTAAATGATGGGCCATATTTGGCTCCTGGGCAGTGTACCAAGGCCTGGTCTAAAGCCTTCATAAAGTTGTTGTAGGCATTAAAACAAGTTAAGGCATAGAGTTTAGCACAGTGTCTGGCAAACAGGGAATGCTTCACTTATCGTCATCTTTAAAGATGATCCTTCTTGAGCCGGGCTCGGTGGCTCAGCCTGTAATCCCGTGCCTTTGGGAGGCTGAGGTGAGTGGATTGCCTGAGCCCGTGGGTTCGAGACCCACCTGGGCAGCAAGACCTCATCTCTACAATAAATCAAAAAATCAGCCGGGCATGGTAGCGCATGCCTGTAATTCCAGCTACACGGAAGGCTGAGGCGGAAGGATCGCCGGAGTCCAGCAGGCGAGGCTGCGGTGGCCGGGAGCGGCCACTGCACTCCAGTCTAGGCGACCGAGTGAGGTTCCAACTCAAAAAATAAATTAATAAAAAATAAATTAATAAAATAAAATACAGTGCATAAAGTAGTAAAACTTTCTAAATCTTTACATAACCAGAAGTCCCTTCCTTTTGTCCCTACACTTATTTGCTTGGGTACAGAATTACAGTTTGAAAGCAATTTTCCCTTATAACCTTAAGAACACTATTTTTCATCTAGCATCCAATATTACTTATAAAATATCTGAGTCTGTTATATTGTAGATAAACTATTTCTTCGTTCGAAAATTGTTACGATTTTCTCTTTAATCCTGTATTATTTAAAA